AGAGCGGATGACTCTGAAGCTTTTAGTCCAAGCGGCTGACCTTGAGACGAAGCTCAGGAGGGCCGGGCTGGGATGCGTTACAGTCCACTGACGGGCAGATTGGCCCTCCAGGTGCAGCGCGCAGGAGGCAGAGGGGCAGAGGACCTCAGGAAAGTGGCCGCAGTCAGGCTGTGCATTTGGCGATGACCCATATGTGGTCTTTTAAGCCATGAGCCTGACCGCAGTCACCTGGGCAGTGAGCCAGGAAGTGCCCTTCCCGGTATCTGGAGAAATGAGGGAGAGCTAGCAGAGGAGACCGAGGGACAGGCACTGTGGGAGGAGGTGGACAGCGGGGGAGGGAGCCACCCTACCTGTCATCGAGAGCCCTGGCTGGCTGGGCTGCTGCTGCTGCAGTGATCCTTGCGTCTTTCCCAAGCATCTGGCCTGAGCTCTGAAAATGAAGTGGGGTGAGAGGCCCGTCAGTTCGGAACCAGGCCCCGCGTCCTGCCGTGTGTCAGCTGCCGTCTGCTCGCTGGGCCGGCTCCCTGCGCCCACCTTCAGCGTGACTCTTTCAGCACTGGTGTCGTGGCGTCCTTCACTAGTGTTCCGGGAGGTGCAGTCATCCCTTATCCGAGGGGCACACGTTCCAAGACCCCCAGCGGAGGCCGGGAACCAAGGGCGGCCCCGAGCCTGCGTGCGTTGGCCCCGCGCGTGCGCACCTGCGGCGAACTCGCCTCATGACTTGGGCACAGGGCGAGGGCAGCGGCAGCCATAGGAGAGTGAGGCAGGCGCCACCGTGGACCGTGGCAAAAGCTGCATGGGCGTGGTCCGCCTCTCACGATCCCTGCCCGCGCCGTCTCACTCACGGCAAGCCCTTTCGGCGTCTCTGGGGCGTCGGATGCTCGCATCTCCGCTCCTGTGCTTTGGGGCCGTTGTGAAGGAAACTAAGGGTCACTTGAGCACAAGCTCCGCGGTGCTGCGCTGCCGAGCTGACAACCAAGACGGCTGCTAAGTGGCCGATGGGCGGGCGTGCGTACGGCCTGGGGACGCTGCCCAGAGGGATGGCGAGACAGCACGATGGCCCACGAGTCCACCACACAGCCAGAACGGCATGTGATTCAAGCTTAGCAGTCATTTATTTCTGGAAATTTCCATGTAGTATTTTCAGGCCGCAGCTGGCGGTGGGTAGCTGAAGCTGCGGGTGCAGGGGCGCTGTGGCTCTGGGCTTTCCTAACTCCCCTAGAGGCGGCGTGTCCCAGAAGGCATCTGTGGGGGTGTCGGGGCACGGACGGTAAAGGTCCGGGTCCTCGTGGAAAGGAGTCAGCTTAACTCGCTTAACTTGGTGTTGGCCAAGGTGCTTGCCCACAGAGTGCCCCCCTTCAGGGGACAGCGATTGACATCCTCCAGAACAAGCGTGAGGGACGCTGTTGGGGAGACTGTCAGCCGTCCAGAAAGCGGACGTCCCCGGCTGTCCTCAAGAGGCTGGTGTGTAGACTCTGTGGATCAGACTGTGGGCTCGCAGTTGGCTTCTGCCTGTCGTGGCCTCGGACACAGTGCTTCCTTTCCCTGTGCCTCAGTTTCCTTGCTTGTAAAGGAGGGACAGAAATCGGGATGTGATGGAATCGTGATGGCTGAGTCGCGTGGCCCGTGTGGAGTTCAATGCCACCTGGTCCAGACGCCAAGGCTCGTTGTCGCCGAGCTGCCTTCACCACAGCGGCAGCAGGCCTGGCGCTGTCTTCTGTAGAGACCGCAGAGTGTGACCTCATTGTCATCTCCGATTTGCCATCAGAAAGAGGATGCGCCTGGCTCCCTGCCCCCGCCCTCGGTGTGACCGGGCGTGGGCAGGCCCAGCCTGGCGCATCTCGGTTCCCTTCAGCCCACTAGCCCTTCAGGGGCTCCCACCTGCTTCTCGCCGTCACGTCAGGAGAGCTGATCCTCGAGGTCATGGCGGAAAAGTCACTAAGCGACGCACGTGGCCCATGTCCCCCGGGTGGTGTGAGTCGCTAGTTTGCCAGTAGAGGAGACAGTGGGATTGCGGGCCAGCTGGGGTCTTACGCTGCGAGTCGCACGTTGTTATTAATGGCCCTTCTGTCCTCCGAGCGTATTGAACATGCGTGTCGTGCTCACGTGGTCCTTTTCCTTGGCTCAGATAACATCCCCGAGGACCTCAGGGACCCCTTTTACATCGACCAGTATGAGCAGGAGCACATCAAACCACCTGTCATCAAGCTCCTGCTGTCCAGCGAGCTGTACTGCCGTGTCTGCAGCCTCATCCTGAAAGGGGACCAGGTGGCCGCCTTACAGGGACACCAGTCTGTCATCCAGGCACTGTCCCGGAAAGGGATTTACGTGATGGAGAGCGACGACACCCCCGTGACGGACCCCGACCTCAGCCACGCGCCCATAAAGATGGTGAGTGTCCTGTGCACCTCCCCCCATTCCGTGTGTCCTGTGCATTTTTGGGGGGGGTGACAGCCCTGGTGCTATGGGCACTTATGCGGTGCTCCAGCCTGTCAGGGTGTCATGTCGGCTGCACAGAGGCGGCGAAGCTGGCCTGCTTCTTCAGGTGCAGGGTGGTGTGGGCACGGGTGTCCAGCAGCCCGCGGAGCTTTGAATGTGGCGATCTCCAGAGTTATGTGTCGCTGAGTCACGTGACTGTTTTGGACCATGGGGGAAAGAGCAGCTCCCTGCCAGCTGTCTCATGAGCGCCCTGAAAGCCAAGGTTAAGTGGAGGCGCGCTCACAGGGTGGGGAGGCAGACTTTCTGCAGATGTCACGATACGGGTGTCGAGTCCGTTCTTACACCGTTTGACGTGAATCTTATAAGTGTTTTTGTGCCAAAAGAAATAGATGCCTCCTTCTCTCCCCAGCACCCCCTCCCCGTCTTGCTCTGAGCCGTCCCGCCGATGGGCCCTTCCCAGACCATGCTGGGTCTAGGCCGTTTTCGATGCCCCCACGTGCTCTGTTCAGGCGGCTCACGGCATTTTACGCTGTCGTCGTTCGACTCTTAGACCATGGACGATGCGCTGTGGGTCGAGAGGGTGATTCTCAGGTTCTAGGAAGAAACGGTTCGACGGCCTGGCGTAGTTATAGTGTGCAGAGCTCCTGGGGGTCCCCAGGGGCCTGCCGGTGGCCGTGTGGCCTCTGGTACACACGTGTCCCCCCACACACACCCCCTTCACTCACAGCCCTAAAGCAAGCATTCCCCCGGCCCTGCCCGGGTCGTCAGGGGGGTGAGCAGGATGGAGCCCGCCACACTCCAGGGCACCGGGCTGGGCCACCCCAAGGGGAGTGACGTGCAGATAAGGCCTCCCTGTCCCCTCATGTGGAGGGAAGAGGAAGGGCAGCGTCTGAGCCGGGTCTCTGCATGGAACCTGGTGGCAGAGGTGGGTGGGCAACTCACTGTGGCCTCTGCTTGCAGAGCGCCCACATGGCGATGGTGGACGCCCTCATGATGGCCTACACTGTGGAGATGATCAGCATCGAGAAGGTGGTGGCCAGCGTCAAGCGCTTCTCGACATTCAGCGCCTCGAAAGAACTGCCGTACGACCTGGAGGACGCCATGGTGTTCTGGGTGAACAAGGTGAGCGCGCTTGGGTGGCCGGTCGTCATCCTCCCAGAGCAGCACCCTCCCCGGCGTCAAGCTGGGACCCAGGCCCGAGTAGGGGCCACGGGAGCTGGGTGTCTGCGTCCAGAAGGCCCCGCTGTAGTGAGAAGACAACAGGACAGACGGGGGTCCTGAGCACGGGAGCGGGGGCGTGCGCGGCCAGCTCAGTCGGACGTGCGGACGTGTGTGTGGTCTGGGTGACTACGCCCTTTTATTTTGACCTTAAGCATCTAAGTGCATTAAAGACGTTCTCAATCTTAGATGGCCTTTGATTAAGAGGAAAGATGATACCTTAAACGCTGTCTTCTCCTTTTACATTTAGGAGCTCACACTGTAGTCTCCTACATGATGTATGTAAAGAATGGCTATTTTTAGTAGCGTGACTAGTTATAGGATCACTTGACTAAAGCCTCTCGGTTATTCGAATAAGCCTTCTTATTTGCAAAAAGCGTTCAGCTCGGGACACCACTAATACATTCTGCGAGCCGGTCTGTGCGTGTACCTTACAACGCGCGGGCTTCGCAGGTGTGAGAGGGACGTCGGCGGCCGTGGGCGTCGTGGAAGAGCCAGCGAGCCCGGCCGCCCGGACGCGCCGCTCCCTGCACGGGCCTCCCCGTCGCCGTGACAGCGAGGCCGCGTCAAGTGCACGGCGACTGCCCTTGGTCTCCGCCTGGATGCGGGTGTGGGACTTAGCGGACGCCGTGCCGTCCGCATCAAGAGGACGTTGCCCAGGTCTAGGAAGAGATGGCAGCAAGGCCTGGCAGTGGCTGGGCGGACTGACCGCAGTGGCTGGGGGACCTCCGGGTCCTGGTGTGGACGCGGAGGCCGGCAGTGCTCAAACGGTCGCCCCTGGCGGTGGGCAGCCTGCCTTGTCCGCCCGGCCTCGCGCACACCGCAGGGACTCGGTTGGAATGGTGCTCAGGACTGCCGCGGCCGCCACGGCAGCCGGCCTTTGCGTGGCAGTTCCTCTGTGGCTGGACGTTCACGTTTCAACTTTTCCTTATACAACTTTTATTGATTTTTTTTCCTTTCTAGAAGAAATGACTTGGTAATTCTAGAAAACTTAGAAAGCATAGATGAGCGAACAGAACAAAATGTAAATTCCCCATAAGCTTAGCACCTATAAGCATGATGTGTGATGTAAATTCTCGCGGTTCTTATTTACTGGGTGCACTGTCTGTCCCACTCCTTCCTGGTGGGCAGTGGTTTTGGGCAGTTTAGCTGAGGTTCATTTTTAAAGGCTTTTGATGGGTTTTTGCCGAATTTTTGATCATAAGGATTGTACTGTTTTCCTGGTATGTTCAGTTCGTGGAGGTGTCATTTTCTGTGTCTTCCCGTATATTGGAAATTATTTAAAAATAATTGCCAGTTTGAAAGGTGAAAAATAGTGTCTTTTATTTCTTCATTCACTGGTCACGTTGCAGTTTTAAAAATAGAGTAAATACAGACAGTATGGCGATTCCTCCAAAAATTAAAACTAGAGCTGTCACAGGAGCGCGCGGTCCCACCTGTGGGCCTTTATCCGCAGAAAACAGAAACACTAATTTAAAAAGATACCAGCACCACCCCCTCACGTTCATTGCAGCATTATCTGCAATAGCCAAGATGTGGGAGCAGCTGCAGGGTCCCCTGGTGGATGGGTAGGAGGACGCGGTGCACGTGCACGGGCGGGAAGGTTCTGCAGCCAGTCAGAGAAGGGAGGTGGGTCGTTTGCCACAGCAGGGATGGTCCCGGAGGGTGTGACGCTGAGTGAAGTGAGTCAGGCAGAGAGAGACAAATGCCGTATGATTTCACTGACCTGGAATCTAAAAAAACCCCACAAACGAATGGACAAACCGGAAAGAGGCCCATAGTCACAAAGAGTAAGCCCACAGGGGACAGAGGGCTGGGGGCGGTGAGGGGACAGCTGAGGTAAAAAACAGCCTGCCCGGCTGGCTGCCTCTTTGGTGAACTGCTTGCTCGCTTCTTCTGGGAGGGTCCCCCCCTTCCCCTCCCACCGCACCCCCGACCCGATCACGCTCCTCACGTGTTAAGAGTGTGACCCGGGTATTTGCTGTACTTCTGTGAACGGCTTCCCCAGGTTATTGTCGCCTCTGCGTGCCCGTGTGCTCGGCCGATGCGCACGCGGTCTGTGTGGTCCGGCGGCATCTCTGTCACCTTCCCGCTTGAGTGCTCTGGTTCTTCGCCTTCGCATTTCAAAGGGACACTCGCCGTCCAGCTTCGCTCTGTCCCTGGCGGACACTGCCTTCTGACTCCAGGACGACGAGCGACGGGGACTCCGCTCATGGAGCCCGGGCCCCTCCCGTCCGCACCGTTCTGCCACGTTCACGGGGACCACGGGGGCGGATGTGCAGTTGGCCACGCCCCCGCGCTGACGGGGCAGTCGCCGGGTGCGAAGCGCGGGGTGGGAGGGCTCCGCGGCGCCCGCCCTCCCCGTCCTCACGCTCTCCCTGCGGTCAGTGCTCGCCTCGGCTTTCAGCAGTTTGCCCTTCGCCCGCATTTATGTTTCTATTCAGTGTCTTCCAAGTTTGGCTACTTCCTTTAAGTCTCTTCCGTAACAGACGTTCCGTCCCGCGGACTCTGGTGTCGGCCGAGCTGTGAGCTCCGACCCTGGGCTCCGCCACCCTCGTCCTGTGTGGCATCTCTCCCTAGGGCAGACTCAGGTGTCATAGGCGTGCGCTCGCTCGGGCAGTCACCGCCTTCGTGGGGCTCCCCTCGGGTGCGCGTTCCGGTGCGGGATGAGGCCCACACTCTGCGTGGCAAGGGCCGCTCCCCGGGAGGTGTCCCAAAGCTCCCCGCCGAACTCGCGTTGCTGCCGTGTCCACTCCGGTCTCTGATGTCTGCGGGGCTGTAGCTGCCCCCGAACGCTCGCCCGCCTGAGGCTTCGTGATGCTGGTGGTCCCCCCTCTGCAGCATCAGATCCTCGATGCCTGCTAAGGCCCGGGTTCTGCGCACGCGTGCCCCCGAGCACAGGTCTCCGCTCTCGCCCCGTCCCAGCCTCCTTCCAGCTGTAGGGTCTCCCGTGGGCTCACTTCCTTTCCATGTTGGACTGCGCCCGAGGGCTCTCATCCCCTTCGGTAACTGCAGTCACAGAGTCATCTGTCAGGTGACCCCAGTGGGTCTTTCTGTGCGGCATCACTTCCGGGGCTGTCCTGCCCCAGGTGAGACGGCAGCTGCGCAGGTGTCCTGCACACCTTTCCCTGGGACTTGCCTTGAGGACCCGTTTGCCTCCACGCTGGGCTGCCCACCTGCCCCGCTCCGGGCCTGTGTGACTGTGGGGGTGCACTTATGGTGCACTGTATTTTCCCAGTTGGGGCGCTTCTGAACAGTCAGGCACTGGGTGGGGGTCCCCGCTCTCTCCGGGATTAGGGGGCCTCCAAGCTGCTGTCTAGATGCCCCGTCCTGTGTGTGTGGCAGGCTGATCTCTCTGTCCCGAATCCTGGGGTTCTGCCGTGAACCATTGAACTGTGGCGCTTTTGATTTTTTATTGATTCCCAGCCAATTTCGTCTTTTTTTTTTTTTTTTTAAAGAAAACCCAGCTTTACTGATAACATGATGGACATGGAATAAATGGACCCAGTCCCTGAGTTTTTGATGTGACTGTGTCCGCTCAGCATTCTCAGTCAAGGAAGCGCTTCCTGCACCTCTGCAGCCACCCCGCCCGGGTGCCGCGCGCCCACTCTGCCCTCTTCACTGGGGCAGTTTCGCCTCTCGTAGGTCTTGGTGGAGAGGGGAGCGTGCGGGGCGCACTCTTCGCGTCCGGCTGCTTTCGCTGAAACGGAGCTGCGTCATTGCCTGCTCCAGTTCAGTTCCTTTCACACTCAGGGTCCCCTGCTACGGACAGACCACAGTTCGCTGGACGGCGAGTGCGTCCAGTTTTTGCCTCGTATGATAAAGCTGCGAAGTACATTTGCGTACAAGTCTTTACGTGCAGGGACATTTTCATTTCTTTGCCTAAATACCCAGGAGCGGAATTGCCAGGTCTTACGATAAGTATGTACTTAGCTGTAGAAGAACCTGCCAGAATATTTTCCAAAGTGATCACACCATTTTAAACTCGCACTAGCGAGAGCGGAGAACCCCAGCCGCTCAGCCGTTCGCGGGCGCTGCGGGCCGTCCCGGTCTCTCCTCTCGGCCGTGTGGGCGGGTGCACAGCGGCGTCTTGTCGTCGTTTGACCTCGCGTCTCCCTAGTGACCAGAGGTGTTTGGGCTCAGGTGTTATGTGTTAGCGCAAATATTTTGCCCCAGTTTCAATGAGGTGGTTTGTCCTAATGAGCTGCAAGAATTTTTTTTTTTTTAACATACATATTTAGGAATCAAGTGCTTTGTTGTATATATGTTCTTGTATTTATTGTTTTGGTGTCAGGGTAATGCTGGCCTCAGAAAATGAGTTGGGAAATATTTCCTCTGTTTTGTGAAGTAGTTTGTGTATGTTTAGTATTATTTTGTCCTTGAATCTTTGATGGAATCATGGCCTGAAGTTTTCGTAGTGGGAAGGTTTTAATTATGAGTTTAATTTCTTTAATATACATTAAGGGATTTAGGTTTTTCTGTTTAGTTTTATATCAGTTTGGTGACTTGTGACATTCAAGGAATGTGTCAGCTTTATTTACATTGTCGAATTTATTGGCGTGAAGTTCATAATGCGTCTTCACTGTCCTTCGGTACACGTATGATCTGTAGTGTTCATAATGCTCCTTCACTGTCCTTCAGTACACGTGTGACCTGTAGCGATGTCCCCTTCTGTTTTCTGCTTTCGGTTTTTATCGATTTCTTTTGTTTTTCATTTAAGTTTTCCTCTTGCCTTTATTATGATTTTTTTTTCCTTTGGGTTTAATTTGTTCTCTTTGCTGGTTTAAGGTAGAAAGTCAGTTCCTTTAAATCTTTTCTCCCTTCCTTACGGATGCTGGAGAGTGGTTCATGCCTCTAAGCCACGCCTTCCACATTCTCCTGTGTTGTGGTTTCCTTATTCTTAAAATATTTTGTTTCACTAGCAGATTCTTGTTTTATCTTTGAGTTATCTAGAAGTTTGTAGTGTAGTTCCCAAATATTTGGGGGAGGGGATGGTTCTAGATCTTTCCGTGCTTGGACCGCTCATTGTGTCGTCTGAGGACATGCTCTGATTTCAGTCCTTCTGGGCCTTCGGAGACTCGTGCGAGGCCACCGAGGGCCTTGCGGGGCGTCACGCGCACGTGGGCGAGAACGGAATAGCGCTGTGCTGGGCCGGGCCGGGCGGAGGGCCTGGCTGTGTCGGTTCAGGTCCGGTGTCGGTGTCTGGCCTGGAGCCTCTGGCCGTCATTCGGTGACTGGAAGCGGAGGTGATGTCTCCAGCCATGACTGCGTCTGTTTCCCATTTTCTCGTGTCGCTCTCGCTCTTTGCTTTGTGTATTTCAGGCTGTTGTTGCGTTTACACACTTGCAGGATGTTTATGTCTCCTTGACAAATTAACCCTTCTGTCGTCGTGAAAGGTCCGTCTTCGTCCAGGCGGTCACCCTTGTCCCACATGCCGCCTCGTTTAACGTCACCGTAGCTGCTCCAGTGTTCTTAGGACCAGTGTGGCCGTCACGGCTGCTCCCTCCCTTTGAATTTTCACTTCTTGCCTCTCTCTCAAGCGGGTGTCCCGTGGGTGCCGGCGCCGGTCTTGCTCCTCGCTGACAGTCTGGGCCTTCTCGCCAGAGTGTTTCGACCAGGGACGTTCCGTGTGGTTATCACGATGTCCGGGTTTTAGCATCTTGTCTGCTTTCGATTTAGCTCAGTTTTTCTGCTTTTCTGGCTTATTTCGCGTTGGGTATTTTTAGTATTCCATCTCATCTGCAGTATTCTTGAGGGGGCTGCCTCTGGGTTTTCAGTGTGCATCTCAGGTCATCATGCTCGGCCCTCACGAAGCAATCGCATCTCGCGAGGACTGTCAGAAACGTCCTTGCGCTTCTGACCTTCGGGCTCCCCTTGTCGCTGACTTCGTCACAGACCGGGCACGTCACTCTGCTTTCAACAGTTACCTCCCAGCGTAATTGAAAATAGAGGATGGCGCTCACCTCCATTTTACATTCGTGTTGCTCTTCGTGCCTTCGTGCAGGTTCAGTTCTCAAACTTTTTGATCTCCGGAACCTTTTACGCTCTTAAATCACCGTGGACCCCAAGTAATTAAAAAAAATAATCTACTGATGTTAAATGCAAGGAAATTTTGAAATATTGGTTAATTTACTAGAAAACTAACTCATGTCATGTTAATATAATGGATTTTGTATAAAAGGAAACCATTATCCGAAACAGAAAGTGATATTTTTATATAAGTTTCTTTGCTATCCGCCTCACTGGCCGACAGCTAGGTTCTCTTACCTGCTTTTAATTTAATCTGTTGCAATACGTGGGTTTTTACTGAAGTACGTGAAGAAAATCTGGCTTCGTGTGATGTATAATTAGAAGAGGAGAGAGGGTTTCATAATCTGTTCAGATAATTATGCTCATCTTTTTTTGATCCTACACCAAAACTTGATAAGTGGTAGTTTCTCAAAGGTTAATTGCGATGTAGAATTTGAAACCATCATCAGTTAACTTTTTTAAAAGTTGAGTTGTAACCCACATGCTATAACATTCACTATTTTAAGTGTACAGTCGCTGGGTTTTAACATGGCCACCAGGCTGTACAGCTGTGACCACGGCTTCCAGACACATTTACCACACCTGCCAGGAAGCTCCGTCCGCGTGAGCGCTCACACGCCGCCGCGTGTCCCTGCCCCTGCGCCCGTCTGCCGTCGCGCACCGTGCGGCCTCATGTCTGACTCCGCCGTTCAGCGTCGCCGTAGCTCTCGGCTCTCGTCGGCGTAGCGGCGTCTCTCCGTGGCCGGGCCCGGCCACGTCGTGTTTATCCGTTCCTCTGCCGATTCGGGGCTGCTTCCACGCTTCGGCTGTCGTCCTGCAGCTGTGAACGAATGTTCGCGTACAGTTTTTGTGAGGGGGCGTTTGCATTTTTCTTGGGTCTGTGTCTAGGGGCGGAGTTGCTGGGTCACGTGGTTACTGTGTTTCCCTTTCTGAAGAACTGGCACACTGTCCCCCAGCAGTGGCACCATCCACGTTCCAGCAGCGGTAGCCGCGGCTCCGGTTCCCACCACCCTCGCTGTCCTTGGCGTCCTGGAGGGTGTGGCGTGGTGCCTCCCTGTGCCTTAGGACGAGTGTCAGGGAGCCTCTCACATGTGCGTGTCAGCCATTCGCAGAGCTTCGGGGAGGTGTGTACTCGGGTCCTTTGCCCATCGTAAAATTGGATTGCTTGTTGTTGTTGTTGTGAGGGGGCCGTCGCGTACCCTCATGCTGGGTTGGCGAACCGTTTGCGCTCTGCTGCGTTAGAGTCCGTTCTTCTTTCTCGCCTTCTTCCTGCCCTTTACGCACCCTTGACCTTGTCGTGTTGTGCGTTGGCCGTTGGGAAGACTGTCCTGCGGAGCCGCGCTGACGCTCCCAGCGCACCCCTCTCCTCGGGAAAGCCTTTCTGTATGAGGAGGCCGCCTAGCTTGATTTTCTAACGAAATTTTTTATATTTCTAGTGTTTTACATGAAAAATTTAAACATGCAGAAAAGTTGAGTTACACAAAGAACACCCGTGTACCCAGCACCCATTATACAGTATTTGCTTTATCATTTACCCATCCGTTTATCCATGTCTTCGAATTCATTTATTTTCGGATTTATCTATATCGATTTTTCTTTTATCTTTTCCTTTCAAAAAACAACTTGTCCACCTTCTTGATTTGAGTGGCGTACGTTGACGTGTCTGTATTCTCGTGTAGCGATAGGGGACTCAGTTCTGTGCCTTTTCTTCATGTGTGACAGCTTTGCCCACGTCCCTGTGAGCACCGATGGGTGTTTGTCTCCACGGTATTATTTTATAATTATGGTTTGGAGTTCGTCTTCGACCTGGTGATTCCGGGAGAGGGCGCCGTAGCTTACTCTGTGCGGTCAGGGAGCGCGTGAGCGCCGTTAGGCCCTGCGGTGGGGATCCCGCAGACGGTTTGGCGGGCCGGCGCCGGGGGCACGGGGCCCGTCCTGGGACAGCAGGCCGCCTGGTGCTCCCCGCCGTCACGGGCCACGCGGAAGCCCTGTCTTTCTGTGTGTATAACCGGCCTAGACGACGCCTGTGTCTGAGTCCGCGTTACGACTGAATGGGGGCCCTGGGGGGGCGATGGGCACCAGGGCTGGGAAGCGGGCGCCTTTCTAATGCATTTGTTCTTCTCCTTAGGTCAATCTGAAAATGAGAGAGATAACGGAGAGGGAAGTCAAGCTGAAACAGCAGCTGCTGGAGAGCCCGGCGCATCAGAAGGTGAAGGCGGGACCGGCCGTTCGCGCTCGCTGCCTGCTCCTCACGTTCGTGCGTGGGCGGGAGCGAGTCTCCTGCACCCCCAGTCCGCGGCGGTGGGCCCGGCGGCTCGCTGACTCTTCCCCCTGGCTACGGGGGGTCTTGTGGAACCCGGGTGGGGGGCCGAGGGCGATGTTGGGGGGCATCGGGAAGCCCAAGAGGACGAGAGGCACAGGGGACCCAGAGCTGGCTTCTAGAAGTTAGCGAGTGAGGAGGGCGTCGCGCACTGCCAAAGGCACCCAGCAGCCCCGCGGTGCCCGCGAGGTCCGGGAGCCTGGCGCCGGCCCTGGGGACCCCCGCGTGGGGTGGGGAGGGGGCGGTGTCACGTGCCTGGAGGCCCGGGGCAGGCGCTGTCTGCAGTGCGGCCACTTCCGGCCTTCCTTCCCCCGACGTCGTGGGGTTTTTGTCTGTGCCTGACTCCACCCCCTCAACGCATGCACGTGCCCCGTCTGCGGTCTCCGGCTCCCCTGCTCCCGCCCCACTCGCCGCGCCCCCTTCCATTCCTCCTTTTTCCTCGGATGGGCACAGGTGACGCACTGAGCCACCCCCCGCCAGGTGCAGTTGGCGTCTGTCCTTTTTGAGGACCAGCCTGTACCAAGTTTCTGGAGTGTTCTTTGCTCCCGCAGAGGCTAGTGTTGTGGAGGTGCCCATGACCTTCCACTGTGGTCATCTGATAACAGGGATGTCCGGGCTCACGGGCACTGGACGGAGCTTAGCTCTCGGGACACCGCGTGGGGGCGGGTGTCACGGCCGTGCTCGCCTGGACCCGCCCGCTGACGCTCCTCTCCTGCCTTCCTCCCGCTTCCCGAGCAGCCTCCCTCCAAGTGGTACTGGAAGTTGGTGCCCGTAAGTGGACCCCGCGCGCCAGCCGCCATCCCAGCGCCACCCGTCGCGGTCACTCGCTTCCATTAAAAACTGCTTGCACCTGAACGTGTTTCGTTAACTGTCCTGCTCGGTATCGTTGTCACTCTGTGCGCACGACGATGACCCGACATCACGGCATTCTGGGGTTCCGAGTCTCATTTCACAGGCCACACACACCGTTTGGTTTTGCCAGTTTCCTGTGTAATGTCAACAGACAGCGTTTTGTGTTTCTCATGGACACTGAGTTCCTCTCTGAGTGACAAAGGGGAATGTCAGTGACAGGGTCCGGTCCGTGTTTGGACAGACACCAGATGGACTGGGAGAGAAGCGCCTGAGTTAGTCTTCCTGTTTGTCCTTCTTAATGTTACCTGCCTAGTGGTGATAGTTAACGAGCCAGCACTTAGTGAGTGTCACGTGGAGGGTCTGATGACAAAGGTGATGCACTTCGCGAAAGGGCGCTGCTCAGGGAAGGCGTCTGTCCCCAGCGCCTGCTCCCGGGGCCGGAGCCCCTCCTGCTGCCCGTCTGCATGGGTGGGGAGGGGGCCATCCTCTCGTCCCCTCAGGAGAGCGTCTGAGTCAGCTCAGCAGGATTTCTAGAATCCAAGTGAACCTTTTCCCATAAAAAGATACCTAAGAGGTGGTGAATTTGGCCCTTGAGTCCCCGCTGTGCCCCAGGTGACTCACGAGGGAAGCCAGAGGGCACAAGTTAAAATGAAGGTTTGGGGTGCAGCTCTTTTTGCAGGCTTTGTTAACTGTCCAATTCTTTAGTGTGACGTCCGGGTCACGTACCCTGGGAGCCGTGCCGTGGAGGTGGCCCCTGGCTGTGAGCTGGTGGACGGGGCCGCGTGGGCGTTGGTGGCGTCTGCCTGGTAGCCAGTAGATAAGTTTGCTTCTCTTTGAAACGTACTAACAAAGAAAGCAGTTTTATGAATATTTACACACCTTTTAACTTTTTGAATCCCGGAGGCCAAAGAGCTAAACATTAGAATAGCTCCTTGCTTTAGTAAGGATATAGTGAAAAATTCAACTGTCCTCTGAGAAGTGAGGTGTCAGGTGAGAGTTTTATAGAAACTGAAAAATGCGGCTAAGAGCAGGGACCGTCCGGGCTCCCTTTCAGTAGCTGGTGACCATGGCACTCGGGCCACAGCGACCGGCAGATAGGCTGACGAGGGTGGGCAGAGAAAGGTCTGGCCAGGTCGGGACATTCCAAGGTTTCACCTTAGCGCTCGACAGCCGAGAGGTTGGCGAAGCTGGCTGGAAGGTCGCTCACAGGCTCCTGGGCCCGGTAGTTCGGTGTTTTCCCTGATTTTAAACTCACACCATCCATTTTCAGTCGAGAAACCATTCGCTTTACTGCATGCCGTGCTCGCTCACTGTGTGTGTGTCTGTCTGTCCGTCCGCGCGGACGCTGGCCTGGCGCACCCCTGCGCGCTCGCATGCTGGAGCCGCGGGCCTGCGTGGCGGGGTGGGCGTGTCCGCGCGCGGCCTGCGCTGCGGCCCGAGAAACAAGTTAAAGTCTACGGCCTGCAGACTTTAGTGCCGTGAAACGAGCGCAGTCTTCATTTCAAAAGCACGTGTTAGAAACGTTTCGTAGTGAACACCAGTACTGACGATCCTGCGCTGTGCACCTACGGGGACAGACTCTCCCTCCAGGTTGCCGAGGGACGGTTTCCGTGGGAAGTGTCTGCACAACTCCAAGAAATCCGTAGTGACCGTGTAGACTGCTGGTGTCCTCCTCTGGTCAGCCTTGTGTATTTCCCTCCTCTGGAGAAAACGTGGCTGCAGGACATGCCATTTTTTAAAGCTGTTTTGTGAATGTTAATAAAGATAGAGGGTAAGCAGGATGTTTGGGACAGCCGCCCGCACCGACCGCCCTTCCCCCAGCCGCCTGCACCGACCGCCCGTCCCCCAGTGGCCTGTGCGTCCACGCACTCCTAAGCTGACACTCAGCTACGGGCCGGCGCTGGAGGCGGGGGCGGCTCAGAGCCCCGTGCCCGTGGTTTCCCCTGAAGGCCGAGCACGGAGGTGCTCACAGTCGCGTGTCTTCTCTGGCACCTTGCATGCGTTCAGTTTCCTGACGCTTCGTTGCATTTATTAGAGGGGCTGCTTGATGCATCATGCGATAGTTTGTCTAACCTGGTTTCAGAAATTTCTCCAACAATACATTAATGCCATTTTGTATTTTGCTTAATGGCCAGGGTTAAGGCTGATAATCCTGAGAAAAGAAACTCACTCGGGGTCCCGCAAGCATGGGGATGCTCGCTGTTTAACTTGTTTCTCATTCGTTTGTGCCGGCTTTTGGTAGTGTGGACGTACCTTCTGCCTCTCTTCCTGTCTGAGCCGTGGCACATGGCACTGTAGAGAGAGGCGGCCTGGCGTCAGCAGCCGCTCGTTGCTGTCACCCAGTGTAGCCATGAAGCTTCGTTCCCTGGACCTTGACGCTTTCCCACGTGATTGCAGCCGTTCTGAGCCTCGTCCAGAGGACCGTTTATTCTGGATTTGGCGTCCGCCTGCGCCGCAGGCAGCAGCGCAGCGCGCGTTCCCCGTGGAGACCCTTCCCCTCTCGTTGCCCGCAGGTGCGCTATCGCCGAGAGCACCTGTCCACGAGGCAGCCGCCCTTCTTCCCGCTGCTGGAGGACCTGATGAGAGACGGCAGCGACGGGGCCGCGCTCCTGGCCGTGGTCCACTACTACTGCCCAGAGCACATGAGGCTGGACGGTGAGTGCGGGGCTGCCCTCGCGGCGCACGCTGGCCAGACGGCTGGAAGGGACCTGGGTCCTTCAGAGCCCCCGGGACGCGAGCCTGTGGGCGGGGACGTGGAGGGCGGCGCGCTCTCACCTAAGCTGCATCTCGCCCGATGGCGAAGCGAGCCTGGGGGATTATGGGTAATGCGTCAGAGATTTGCGACAAGGGCCGCTTCAGTGTCAGGACGGCTAGGGCTCTGTCAGTCCTGCTGCGGTCGATTCGAAACCCCGGGGACTTCGTTTGGGGCGGGAAACGAGGGCAGAATGCGGCCCGTCGACTGGCCGTTGGTGACAGTGCTCCTGAGCGATGCCGGCACGTCTCTGCGCGGCGCCCGCAGCCCGACGGCGGGCCGGGGATGTGGGTGAGGCCACGAACAGCACCATCCTGTTCCCATGGCAACGTCTGTCCAGAGGCCGTGGGAACGGGAATCCCGATTCGGGTTTTGCTGAGCACCCCTCTTTCTGAGGGGGGGAAGGCACAGGCCGAGAGAAGGCTGCCCTACCCGTGAAACCTTAGACTCCGGCCGGGGACGTTGAGCTGACGGTCCTGCTCCAGGTACAGATGCGCTGGGTGATACGGTTTTTATAGACAAAACAGTTTTAAAATGCACGGCTGAGCTTGAGAGAAGGAGCGGTCTCGGGCTCCAGGAGAAGGTCTTCATCTTCGAGGGGGAAACTGGTGATTGACACCTGGTTGTGCTCATCTGACCTTGGGGCTGTGTGTGGTTGGGAGCGGTGACCAGGACCTGGAAGGGTCTAGGAGACTCCACCTGCCGGCCAGGAAGGAACCAGGGTGCTCGTCAGATGCCCGTGGCCGTCAGGGTGGGAGCAGGATCTTTCATGCGGACAGAGGGCACCAGGCTGCATCGCCATGGGAGGGGGTGAAGGGTAGCGTCCACTGCCCGCGTGGCACAGAGTGGGGGGTTCAGGCGAAGCGAGTCTGGGACTCGTGAAACCGAAAGGCCCTGGCAGAGTGTCGCTGTGCAGGAAGACGCCCCCAGCCAGGGCGCGCCGACACCCAGGGAGCCCTCCGCCGGAGCGCGGGCCCCGGGGAAAGGCAGAGCACACGCGGGACAGCGCTCCCCAGGGCCGGCCGATGCAACAGACAGGTTCGGCACCGAGACATCGGTGACGGACAACATGGGGACGAGAACGCAGTGCTAACGTGACGGAGACAGAAAGAAACGAACCTCGAGAAAGACGGGGCAGGCGCTGCCTGCGCGCTGGAGCTTTCCCTCCGCTCCGCACCTGTTTCCTTCCCGGCCCTTTCGTCCCCTCTGCATTCGGGATGTCTCCACCTGGTGCGCCGGCCCAGTTGGTTCTTGCTCAGGTGCATCGAGTGCGCTTCTGTGGCCCCCGGGGACCGTAAGGCAAAAGGTGCGACGTGGGATTACGTGCGGCAGAGTGGAAGCCCGTGGGGGCGGCGGCGTTGGGGCTCATCACGTCCCATGGCAGGACGTCAAAGTGGGCTTTTAAAGGACAGAATTACAGGGGGACACGAACAGAGCCGCACACATAACGAACCGTAGAAGCGGTCGGTGAAGCCCGCAAGGATGAAGAAGGAAGGCCACAGAAGATTCGAGCCCAGTATTAGCGGGGTTGGTCCAGCGCACCGGCCATCATAGGATACGCTCTTTCAGAGTCAATAAAGATGGACATGTTTACAAAAAACGGACTTAATGCCACAGAAGAAACCTCAACAGATCACAAAGAATTGAGAGTTTTCCCTGCAACGCGGTGGCACGAGAAACCAGTGACAGAAAGGTGTGACCTCTTCCTCCACACCTTCGACATCCTCAACGCTTAGAAACCACAGAAGGTCTCACGGTCGCAGTAGAAACCACGTGGCATCGTCTCGTGTGCATTCCATGGGACGGGGGTTTTTGTCTGAGTTGCTCACTGGTACAGCCCAGCCATCTAAAATCGTGTCTGGGACAAGCTGGCAGGAATTCGAGGAGTAGATCTGTGACTGGCATCCATGCCGGAACTGGCAGGGCACAGGTCAGAGTGGCCGGGAGAGGGGCACTGGTGCCCCAGCGTGCATTCTGTGATACAAGGTGTTTTACAGTTAAAGGACGAGCTTGTCCTCCGTGCGTCAGGAGGTGGCGTGGCCACGAGCCGAAGAAAGCGGGAGGAGGGAGCCAGGTGGTTTCCCGTGTCATCATGTCGGAAGTCACTCCCGCACCGGGAGGGGACCAGGATTACAGACCCTGCTTGGGGAGCTGGAACCCTCTGGGCCTGACCAGTGAGCACCCAGTGGGGGAGGGGCGCAGAGAAGCCAGCAGCTCACTCGTGGGGGCCCTGGAAAGGCTCCAGAAGACACGCAAAGGACCAGGGACGTGCCGAGGACATGGGACACACCGGTGGCTTGGCAGGGGCTCCTGGAAAGTCGGGCTGGAGAGTAGTGAGAGCCCAGGTCCTTTCTCCTCTGTTAGGCAGCGATGACACGTCCCCACACACCCTCAGGAGATGTGGGGGTGTGCTCTTAGGGGAAACTGAGCCTGACCTCGCACATAGAGGGGCAGGGACAAGGTGACGCATGGAAATCAGGGCTTCATGGAAAATCTTCATCCTGGGGTGTTCAGACAAGGGCGTGAAAAATGAGGGGGATCCGAGATCCCGGAAATACAGAAGTTGGACACCCGTATAGACAGATGCTGCGGCCTAGCTGTGGAAGTGGGGCTCAGACCTGGCTGGATTTGACCATACTTACTGCCCTCGGGCTCCGTAGGAGGCCACGTGGGTCCTCGGCACCCTCTGCCCTGGCTGCAGTTAGCGACATCCTCCCGGGGCAGGCGGGGCGGAGGGGCGCGCCCCGCCAGAGGCAGAGGGTGGGGGGCAGGTGGGTAGTAGGCTGGGCAGAGAATTGCTGTTTTTCTCAACAAGCTTAAAATACTATTTGGCTTTTAAAAGACTTGATGAACTTTAGCAAAGTGAAAATTATTTTAATGTTTTTAGGTAAATTCAATAGCAAAAATATTAGAAACTTTAGACATTTTAAATGTACAAAAGTAAAAATGTTTTAAAGGAGTAGTAAAATAGACAGTTCTCTGGAAGGATTAAGAAAAGATGGCAAGAATCAAGAACCTCGTAGCTGAGAGGGTTAAGTGCAGATCTGCGGGACCCTAACGCAGACACTGAGGGAAGTCCCGAGGGCGCTGTCTGTCACAAACGGTCACATACGGTCGGCGTGCCCGGTGAGGTGGGCAGTTTCCGTTTGAGTACGGTACCTACGAAGCACACCTCAAGAGACCCCTAACTGTCAGACGAAGGGACTCGGTTTTCAGAGTGTATCCACACAGACGCTGTGTGTTGGGCGCTTTATCAGCTCTCAAGGAGTCGACAGCCCCTGTGTGACAAGGACTGTCCTGGAGGGGAGGCCAGGTCTCTGAAACAGGCGACTCCCCGCCGCAGGCACAGTGCGCGGGCCGCAGTGCAGGCCACGTCCCTCGTTGATGGGCCGGAAACCCCGCGAAGGCGCTGGACACGGGGATCAAGCAACGGAGCTCCTTCTCTGGGGTGGTGGTGGCAGGGGCTCAGAGCGGTCTGTCACGTGTCACTGCCCACGTGTCATGGACGTGCTCGGGTGGTGGTGACCGATCCGACCTCACAGAGGTTCTCGCCCAGCCCGCCGCAGCCGCGGTTCTGCCTGAGGCTTGGGGGACGTGTCGCCCGAGGGCTCGGGCCTGGGCGTCCCCTGGACGGCTCCGTGCCTGCCTGCGCCCTGGGGTTGGTGTGTGAACACGTGAGCCCCGTTCGTGATGCTTGGGAGTAGAGTCCACAGAAGAGGTGGCGACCCCTGGAAGGAACTGTTAACTTTGTCTAGTGGCTGAGGTGCCAGGAGTCAGTATGGAAATGGTAATGTTCCCGGAGTGTTCAGAAACTTGTTGCCAGTTTAATGAATGATCTCTTTGTTATAGAAGTTGACGAGGTGATGTGAAAACTCATGTGTGAGAGAACCGGCCAAAGGGACAAAGTTAATGTTTTGTAGCATTTTATATGATAAAAGTTTAAATTTGCAGAGAAACATACAAGGAATTCCTGAACCCTTTTACCCAGATTTCCCGGTTGCTCCATTTTGTCACATTTGTGTTTGCGAGTCCCTCGAGAACAGGGTGTTCTCCTCACACGGCAGGGGCCAGGAAGGCCCGCGGTGGCACCAGGTGTCCCAGGGATGTCCCTGCCGTCACCCCCCGTCCAGCCTCGCTCACCACAGCTGCCGGCTCGGGCTTCCTGTGAGCTCACCCCACTCCCAGCCCATCTTTGTCCTTCTTGCCCGTGGCATTTTCAGAGTAGGTCGTTTAGTTGAACGTCCCTCGTTTGTCCGGTGTGTCCTGATTAGATTCAGGGCGTGCGTTTTTAGTGCAGATGCCACAGGAGCGATGTGTCTTCCCAGTGCATCCAGTCGGCATGACGGCAGTGCACCCAGTATCGATGACACCAGCTTTGGTCACTTGGTTCGGACGACGTGTGGCGGGCCTCTCCACTCTGGGGTCACTGGTTTTGCTTTCTGATTGACTAGTGACGTGGGAGGCCTCGCGGAACGCCCCCGCTGGTGCTGGCGGCCGTTGGTAGTTTGGCCACTGTCTTCTCTTTTACACGTATTGGCACCCTGCCGTAAGGGAGAGCTTTCTCGTGCTTATTCGCGTGTTGGTTTGTATCAGGGTGGCCTCTCGTGGGTTCGTATTTTCCTCACAGATATAATGCATCATGTTTCTGTAGCTTAGATCGTCCCCGATTCAGGCAGGTCGATTCTACAGAAAAGACCGTGGATGCTTTCTGTGCAAAGACTGAGCTCTGTAGCTTGCTGTCCGCTGAGCCAGTGTGACTTGGGCCCAGACGAGCCGTGCTGAGATGCCGGACAGTGACCCCTCCAGGGAACCCGGTGCCTGGGGGGCGGCCAGTTCAGAATGGGGACAGATGGCCATCTCTGTGGGAGAATACAGTGAGCCCTCATCCCATACGAGGCAGAAATGCCTCTGCCTTGTATGAAAGATGTAGCACTGAAAAGTAAAATTTAAGAACTTTTGAGAAGACAATATAGAAAAATACTTTTTGACATTAGTATTGGGATGGATTACTTAAATTACAAAAAAGCACGAATAATAGAAAAGATTCTTGTATTGAACCATAGTAAAATTCAGTCTGGTGACACAGGAACATCATAAGCAAAATTAAGTGATGAACTGTGTCCACTGTAAAGTATTTGCAACAAACCCCCTTGCCGTCACCTATCTGTTTACAGGCAGAATTAATTTGTGTCTTCAATACAACTGCTTCTTAGTTTTGAGCTGCGTCTGCTGGTTCCTGTCTGAGGGCAGTCGTGGCCCCCCCCCACCCCCGAGCACTCACACTCAAGGGGTGGCATGTGCCGATTAAGGGCCTGGCACCCGGCGAGCAGCCTAAAATGGAAAATTGTCCTGCCCGATGCTAACAGCCGGCAGTCCCTGCATCTTTCATGGAGGGCGACCCAGCTAAGCCCCGTCTCCTGAATTCTGTGATTCGTAGTATTTCCGTATCGTTCCCTGAGTAAGCCTGGCCTTTCTTATTTTACACCCCGCCCCCCCCCCCCCCCCCCAGGTGTCATTGGCAATGTCTGGAGACGTCATCACAGAGACAACCTCGCACCAGGATATCTGACACGGGTGAGAGAGACTTGGTTAACTGTTAACTAGCTTTACGCAGCAAGTCCTTTTATAAACTGAAAGGTGACTGTCACTGCCCATTTTTGAAGCCCGGTCTTAAAATGTCAAGTAATTTCTGCCATGCTTTTTAGATGTTAACCGTTGAATTCGGATCCTGGACGTTTCTCAGATTTTTCTCTCAAGTTTTTGTTCTTTGTTTACCGTTACTTGTAATACTCGTCGTAAAGTTTAAATCTCTTACCTTCTTAAATATCACCAGTGCCTTCATTTAAAATGTTTTCGGGTCAGAATTCACATGTGCTCGCCCCTTACGAAGCAGAGTGTCTTTACAGTAAACTATAGTTTTCTCTTTGTCTGTCAGACATCTGCTTGAAGGAGGTCACGTCGGTGGCTGACAGTCTGTATAACATTCGGCTCCTGAGGGAATTCTCAAACGAGTACCTTAACAAATGCTTTTACCTCACCTTGGAAGACATGCTGTACGCTCCCTTAGTGTTGAAGGTAATCGTGGATTATTAAACACACGTTTCAAAAGCGACGCGCGCATCGGCTGCTCAGCGTGTCCTTGGTGTTGTTTTTTCTTTCAGCCAAATGTTATGGTTTTTATTGCCGAGCTCTTCTGGTGGTTTGAGAATGTCAGGCCAGACTTCGTTCAACCCCGGGACGTTCAGGAGCTGAAAGACGGTGAGTGACAAGCCGCGGTAGACTGACAGCTGTCCCCCTGAGGGTTTTCAGGACTCAGAGGTGTCCTTCACTGGTTCCGAGCGTTTTACACGGTGGCGTTTCTGCTTAGATGGTTCCTTTTGGGACTGGAGACCTGTGTCGTGTCTTGGCTGCCTGCCAGGCTCTTCCATGTGGTCCTCGGCAGTCACTCTGGGAGCCTTCCCAGCGCCCCAGCCCTGGGCCCGTCCCGGGCCTGCGGGACCGGAAGCCCGGGGCAGCAGGGGCCGGTGACTCCGGGGCAGGGGCTGCAGCCAGACTCCAGTACACGTTCTTGAGTCTGCTGTCTGTTAACCAGGCTGGGGCCCCCACGTGGGTCCCCATGTGGCTGCAGATCGGAGTCAGAAGGCGGCTGCTGCGTGGTGGTCTGTGGCCTGTGGCTTGAGCCTGCACGAGCTCAGTCCGAGATCCTCTTAAGTCTTATGAGGAGTTGCTGATGGGTGAGCTCACCCTCAGGGCTGGGAGTGACGGGCAGTTTCGGGTGCGTGGTCACTAGTCGGTGAGCTGGCTGTGCCCAGGCCACGCCGGGGCTGCGTGTCCTAGAGTGCGGGTCTGTGCGGCCGGCAGCGTGGGCCTTTCCCCCACTGACAGCTGTCGTGAGAGGGGCCGCTGGCCTCGTGGCCCGGCCTGCAGAGGAGCCCATACTGCTGGGCGTGCCCCTCAGAGCCGCCGTGCCGTCTGGCTGGAGGGTACTCCATGTGCGTAGTGTGCCGCCTCCAGACCCTCCTCCGCGGGGACAGCTGTGCCGTAGAGGAATCTGTGCTTCACTTTGGGTGGGACGACCAGGGCGGCCTGGGCTTTGCGTGGAGATGCGGGGCCTCCCCGTGCGTCTGTCGAGGGAGCCCGCTGGGGTCAGCGCCGGTTCCCGTTGGCATCTGGGCTGTGCTCGGGTCTCGGGCATCGGTGCCGGCTGGGACCTGCGTCCCGCAGTCTGCCCTGTCTGGGCGCCTCGCCGATGTGACTGTAAATAACATGACGGTTCCTGTAAAATTTCTGTTCTGCAGCTAAAACAGCGTCACATCAAAAAAGCAGTCGGCCTCCTGTCCCTATCTCCAATGCCACCAAGCGGAGCTTCCGCGGTGGCCCCGCGGCGGCAAGCCCGGCCGAGCCACAGCCCCCCACTGCACTGCTGGCCGAGGGCGGCCACCGGCACCACCTGCACCCCGAGGAGTCTGACCACCTGTAAGTCTCTGCGCCCGGAGTTAAGTCGCCGTCCTGTGTCTCTCTTCTCGTTAGTTTTAGTTGAGTGGTGGTAGAAGCACCCGAGAGTGGGTGTGCCCCGTCCCCGCCTCCCCGGGCCCAGCCCCTCCCCAGGGGCAGGGCGACCGGAGCGCACGCTTGAATGCCCGCCTTAAAATTTGAATCCCGAGTAGTCAGCACGTCCCCTTGTTGCAGTTTTCGGTCGTTTATCCCAAGTCTGAAGTTCCGGGTACTATTTTAGTTCGTTTTTATAATAATTTTTCTCAAAGAATTCGTGAATTCATCACAGATTAGTATGAATTCACGATGGTCTCTGGTTTCTTTTGCGTTTGTTTGCTTTTGTGCTAAACTAGCGATTTTCCCTCCTGCCCTTTTCCGCTTAGGGGGAGAGGAGCGTCTGCCTTGAGCCCGTCACACCCTTTGTTGCCACTGAGGCAGAAACAGCAGAAGACGGTGCCCGGCGAGGACGCGCCCGGTACGAGCGCCACGCCCTCGGCCCCCCCCGCCCCCCGCCCCGCTCGGGCCCCCGCAGTAGTTTCGACAGCAGACTCTCTCGTCCTGACGTAGTGATTTAGTTAAGACTGTGACAGGGCGTTTTTCAGTTTGTCTTCACGTGCCTTCGAATTTATAGTGGAAACATCATTAAAACCTACTAAATTACATGACGCTTACAGAAAGTTGCTGGGCTGTACTTGAGTAAGAACTTACGTGTATTGACGTTTACTTAAAATTCTGATGATTTTATTTCATGCTTTGGACCGATCACGATTGAATTACGCATTGTTTACTGTTGACACTTTGAAAGTTGTCGCTGTGGTGATCTTTCTTTGAGCAGTTTGGTGTAAGTTATGACGCGTTTCCTTGAGAAACAGTTATTGTGCCGAAAGTTTCCAGCGACATGAAGTGGGTCCCCTAACGCGGAACACGCTTGCCTCTTCCCCCCGACTGCAGGTCAGCGGCACCGCTCCAATTCTTTGACCCGAGTGGACGGTCAGCCACGGGGAGCAGCAGTAGCGTGGCCGGAAAAAAGGAACAGGTGAGCTGTCTGCACTCCAAATAAGTTCCAGTTCGAAACGTTCTTCAGGCTCACAGCAGTGCTCCCGCTGTGGCCCGGGCCCCCGGGCTCGCCGAGCCCCTTCCAGGGCGTCCAGGGCTGTTTCTGCGTCCCGTGCCCCCCCCCCTCCAGCAGAAGGCATCGCAACGTCGGGGGTCGCAGCAGCTCGAATGAGAGGCAGAGGTGGGAGCCCAGCCGGGTGTGGGAGGGGACACTCGCGGAAGTGCCGCCCTTGACTTAGGAAGTAGACCGTTCTTCGCATAATAGGTTTTTAATCAGTGTTTTTTTTTTAAGTGTCTTAGCTTTGATTTCTGGTGTGACAAATATCGATTAACACTGTGTAAGTAAAAGCTCTTCGGGGTCCTCAGTCAGTTTTAAGGCTGTAAGTGGGTCCCGGGAGCACAGCGTTTGAGACTCGCCTCTGGTTCCCTCCCCCCCGGGGGCTCACCAGACCCCGCGTAGCTCACGCCCGCACTCCCTTTTCATGACCGGTGCTGCCGCTTCGCTGCTGGAGCCGCCCGTCGTGGAGACGGCGGCGCGTCCAACGTCCTCTTTCCCCACGTTGCAGGCCCGCGTCCCAGCCGGCGCCCTTTGCCCTGCATCATGCTGCGAGCTGCGACGCGGACCCCGGCTCTGGCGACAGCATCAGCCTGGCCCGCTCCATCAGCAAGGATAGTCTGGCCTCCAACGTCGTTAGTCTGACCCCGCAGAACCAGCCACACCCCCCGGCCCCCAAGACCAACGGGAAAAGCCTCCTGAACAACGTCGACATCGAGGACGAGGACGAAGAGCTCGTGGCCATCATCAGAACGGACGGGGCTCCGCACGGCGGTGACCAGGGCCTGATGGCAGGTGCCAGGTCTCCCCAGAGACCGGCGGACACCTCAGGAAGTAAGCCCGACAGTTTCTTCTTAGAGCCGTTGATGCCGGCCGTGCTGCGGCCAGCCAAAGAGAAGCAGGCCGTCACCAAGGAGGACGAGTGCGGAGAGGGGCGGCCGAGGGGCGGCCCGTCCAGGAGGCCCGGCGAGGGCCACCCACCTCTGGGGCGGAGGAAGGCGCCCGGCAGCCACGTCAGTCGTGACCTGACTAGGACTTTCACCCCGATCTCCTGCTCGGAACTGCCCGCGGGCTCGGCCCCTGCACCTGCTGAGGCGGGGGAGGCACGTGGCGGGCCGCTGGCCGGCGGCAGGTCTGAGCCGTTGACTCAGGGACAGCCTGCCGACGGCTTCTTTCTCCACGTGGCCAGAGCCGACGAGGACACGGAGGGCCGGCTCTACATTAGCTGCGCAAGAAGCCCGCTCGCTCGCGACCCGGAGCCGTGGGCTGTCCTGAGGCAAGACTCCGACTCGGACGTCGCGGACCTCGAGGACGCCGAGCACGGTTTTTTCGGCGACGACCACCCCGTGCTCGTCGCCAGGTACGTCGGCGAGGAGGAGTCGGCAAAACTGCAGGAGGACATGCAGGTGAAGGAGCACGAGGACAAGGACGCCGCCAGCGGCCGCTCCAGCCCTTGCCTGAGCACCGTCTCTCAGCTCAGCAGCGCGTCCGTGGCCAGCGGGAGCGTGAAGATGACCAGCTTCGCGGAAAGGAAGTTCCAGCGGCTCAACAGCTACGAGGCCAAGTCCAGCACGAGCAGCTCTCAGAAGACCACGCCCGATGCCTCGGAGAGCTCCCCGGCCCCCCTGACCACGTGGAAGCAGCGGAGGGAGCAGAGCCCCGGCAGGCAGAGCCGAGACCACGCCAGTCTCCTGGCGTCCGAGCTGGTGCAGCTCCACATGCAGCTGGAGGAGAAGCGGCGGGCCATCGAGGCGCAGAAGAAGAAGATGGAGGCCTTGTCCGCCCGGCAGCGGCTCAAGCTGGGGAAGGCCGCGTTCCTGCACGTGGTCAAGAAGGGTAAGGCCGAGGTGGCGCCCCAGCCGCTGAAGCCGGAGCCCGCGGCGCAGGAGTGCGCTCAGCACAATGGTGAGGACGTCGGTGGCGGCGTGTTCAAGACGGAGGAGTTTCTGCTTGAGGAGGGGCGAGAAGGTCTCCGCGAGTCTCCAGACGCGGACAGAGGAAGCCCGGCCCTCCTTCCGCCTCACAAGCCGAAGGGGCCGGCCGCCCTGCACGAGCTGGCGGAGAACCGCACGCTCTCTGCCGCGCTCCTGGGGGACGCCGGTGAGGTGGCCGACCTGGGCGAGTGCGACCTGTCCATCGAGAAGCTTAACGAGACCATCAGCACGCTGCAGCAGGCCATCCTGAAGATTTCTCAGCAGCAGGAGCAGCTGCTCATGAAGTCCCCCCCGGTGCCAGCGCCCGCTTCCAAAACCAGCTCCCAGGACCACAGGGTCAAGGCGTCCATCCACTTCGTCGAGCCGCTCTCTCCGACTGGAATGACGGGTCACCGCAAAGCCCCCCGCCTCGGTCAGGGCCGGAATTCGCGCCCGGGGAGACCCGCCGAGCTGAAGGTTGTGAAGGACAGGCCACAGGGAGCCTCTCGCAGCAAGACCCCAACCCCCAGCGTGGAGGCCCTCCCGCACTTGCGGCCTGCCCCGCCTCGGACGCCGTCCGACCCTGCCTGGGACGGTGTGGCCGACCCCGGGAGTGACACCGACGAGAAGAGCTTCCTGGACAGTTACCGGCTGCATGACGAAAGCAACCAGCGAGCGTTTGTCCTGCCCTCCCCCAAAGACGCGAACATCCTGTCGGAGCAGATGAGCCTCAAAGAGGCTCTGGAGAGCGGCAGGAAGGAGGCGGGGCTCGGCTCCCCAGCGGTCTCAGGACAGGAGAATGTCCCCGTGGACGGGCCCCCGAGGAGCAAAGCCAGCCTCATCGAGGTGGACCTGTCGGACCTGAAGGCCCCCGACGAGGACGGGCAGACAGAGGGCCCCGAGAGCTCGGCGGATCTCGGCAGCGAGGGCGATCAGAAGCTGGGGGTCGGCTTCTTCTTCAAGGTAAAGCGCTGGCGGTGTTGTGCCTCACGGTGGCCGGGTGTCACCACTGTACCCCAGTCGTGAGGGCGTGACCAGGGACACGATTCAGAGCAGGGCCCGGGGACACGTCGGGGGCTCTGCCCAGAGCAGCACAGGCAGCACCTGCTGGTGAGCGTGGCCCCACAACACTAACGTCCTGTGATTTCTGTGGGTCCTGAATATTATTTTTTGTTGTTGGTTTTCCGATTATTTTGTAAAAACGGTTTTAGCTCACAGGCTCTCCAAAACAGGTGTTGGATTGGATTCGGCCTTTGGACCAAAGGTTGCTGAATCTGTTGCAGAAACTGTACAAAACATTTTGTTTCCATTTGTGCCTTACTTGTTATTTTTCTTAGAGAAAAGAGAAAAATTAGTTGTGAGAACTCCTTTTCTGTTTTAAGTGTTTCCTCCTGGCAGTATGAAGGTGGGTGACGTACTACAGAATCATCACGTTTATCTTAGCAAAAGATGCTTTATTTGGTGCTTGTGCTTTTAAAATGTGAACAGGCGAGTGATCCGTCAGGTGCTAGCTCGTGTCATGGAAATGCGTGTAGCTTTTGAAGTGAGCTGGGTGCAGTGCAGGCTTTGGGACGTCGACAGGCTTTTCGAAGGGCGCAGTGTCTTTTCTGTGAGTGTTTCAGCGTCATGAGATCTGCTCACTCGTCAGCTGGAAGGGAGCGAGACGTCCTTGGACTGCGCTCCGGCCGTGTCCCCGTCTGCGTGAGGGACTGCTGCCAGGGCGAGGCTGGCGCGTGGGCACGGTGCGAGGGTCGCGTCCCATAACGTCCACGGTATCTGTTTTGCAGGATGAACAGAAGGCGGAAGACGAGCTCGCCAAGAAGCGGGCGGCCTTCCTCCTGAAGCAGCAGCGGAAGGCGGAGGAGGCCCGGATGCGGAAGCAGCAGCTGGAGGCAGAAGTGGAGCTCCGGAGAGACGAGGCCCGGTAACCGGTGGGGGCGGCGGGGCCGTGGGCAGCGCTGGCGTCGCCTGCGTCAGGGCCCTGTCTGTCGCGGCCCTTCGTCCTGCTCGGTCTTAACGCTTCCCGGGTGTCAGCTCCCTGAATTTCCACCCCAACCCCGAGAGCTGGTTGCATTTTGTCGACTGGAAGATGCTATCAACCCAGTATCATGTCACCAAAAAGGCTTTATTTGGAAAAAAGAAAGCGTCGCAATGCAGTGCATGCGGACGTGGCAAGCCGCGTGCACGCTAGGGCCTGCGCACCAGGATGGAGGGGCGTTTGTGGAAGGGAAGGGGAAGTCGAGGGAGGGACGCGGGGTCTCTGTCGTACACGTGGAGTCCTTCCCGCTGGGTCTCCCAGTCACGACCACGCAGCGCGTGGGCACTTCCGTAAGCCCCGGCTCTCCCCCAGCCCCTCCCGACTGGCGGCGTTTGCTTAGAGTCCCAGTCACCTTTGCCCCGTTTATCCCGTTGTCACGCAACGTGGGAAGTGTGCCTCCTGGCTGGGCTCTGACACGGGGCGGGGGACGCGGGCCCTCCGGCGCCGGCCCGGTGCGCCCCTCTGACCGGGCTGGCGTGGCGTGCTCTCAGCCGCAGAGCCGAGGAGGACCGGGTGCGCAAGGAGGAGGAGCGGGCCAGGCGCGAGCTCATCAAGCAGGAGTACTTGCGGAGGAAGCAGCGGCAGGTCCTGGAGGAGCAGGGCCTGGGGGGCCCGAAAGCGAAGCCCCGGAAGCCGCGGCCCAAGTCCGTCCACCGGGAGGAGCCGCAGAGTGACTCGGGGACCAAGTGCTCCTCGACGCGTAAGCCGGCCCGGTGGTGCGGGCGGTGGCCCTGGTCCCCCTCGCCCAGGGAAACACTGTGATGTGGAGATGGGTGGGCGGCTTCTGGGTTCTGGGCCTTTCTGCTGCCCAAACATGGTGAGGACGAGCCCGTGGCTTACGGGAGTGCTGCTTGTCTCCGGCAGCGGATAACCTGAGCCGGGCCCAGTCGGCCTCCAGCCTGTCCTTGGCCTCCGCAGCGACGACCGAGCCCGAGAGCGTTCATTCGGGGGGCGCGCCTTCCCAGCGGTAAGGGGTCTGTTGGGGAGGTGGTGCTGGCCCTTGCGGTTGGCGGGCTTCACACGTCCGCACCGGTTGAAGTTGGTTCATGGGGACGCCCGGATGCCTGGGTCACCCTCCGTTTTGTCACTCCCCCCCAGCCCTCCCCCAGCGCGTGCATTTGCCTTTTACTCCGAAGTCGAGGACGTTGTGCCCTTTGTCCCTAAATGCCTGTGTGTGCGCTTCCTGTGGATGAGGACACAGCCACAGTCGTCAGGCAGCACCGTCACATCCACAGTCCGCGCTCTGTTGTCACCAGTTGTCCGATGGTGTCCTTGAGGCCCGGTTCCTCAGTCGAGGGTCCTGGTCGGCCCCGCGTGGCACCAAACGATCGTGTCCAGTCCTCAGCCCTCCTGTCTTCTTGGCCTTGATGCCGGCCAGTTGTCTGTCTGCTCCTTGTTTGGTCCCCCGCGTGCAGGTTCGGGCCGTTCGTCCGGGGGGCGGCAGCCTGGGGGAGGGTGCGCTTTGCCCAGTGTGGCCCGTCAGGCGTGCCGCATTTGCTGCGGTGTTGAGGTGGGCTTTCTTTGCTGGGACCTTTTCGGTGCCACTGGACTTTGGCTCACGGCCTCAGTCACCCTGCCGATCTGCCTTGCTTGTCCCACGTTTGCTGGTGGCCGCTTTTGGCAGCACAGAAACCTGTCCTTCATTGTGTACGTGCATCCTGGGGCCTCAGCCACAGTGTCCTGCCTCTTCACGTGTCTGTCTGGTGGCTTCCCTGTCACCTGGGCTTCGTGGGGGACACTTCTCAGGGACTCTGGATCCTGGCCGGGTTTTGTCTGGCGGTCAGGAGCCTGAGCAGGGCCCCAGGCCCCCCCGCCCCACCTTCCCGCTCACTTGAGCAGCTGTGTCCGCCGTGACGCCGACTGTGCTCAGTGCACATGGTGCTACAGAGACGCTGCTCAGGCCTGCCGGGGATCGGGCCGTCTTGGAGACTTTTTCGGGGTTTTGGACTCAGCCTGCTGTGGCCCTTCCCTCCTTCCCAGGGTCCTGTCCCTCGTTTGGCAGCAGCACAGATGGCCCAGATGTGACCCATCAGCTCCCCCAGCCAGCTCCCTTGGTGCGGAGCCCTGGGCAGACTGCACGGGGGGCACCTCTTCTGGCGGAGGTGGGCTCCCCCGGGCTAATAGCGGTCGCGGGAGCCGACCGATGCACTCATCCACCGTCGGGGCGTCTCCTGCCGCTGCCAATGGTCCTTATTGCAGTAGGGTGCAGGCCGGCTCAGGGTGGCCTGGCACAAGCCAGTGGCCGGTCGTGGGTGCGGGGCCTGTGCCGTGACCATCCCGTGTGCCCTTTGTCCCTGTCGTCAGCAGAGTCGAGTCCCTAGAAGCCTTGCCCACGCTGAGCCGCAACCCCAGCCGGAGCACGGACAGAGACTGGGAGACGGCGTCCGCAGCCTCCTCCCTCGCCTCGGTGGCCGAGTACACAGGTGACGGCCGCGCTCTCCGTGGAGGTCACGGGCGGCCACGGGCCTACGTCCTGGTCTCCGTGGGGTGGGCGCCTCGGCGGCAGGTGGCGCAGGTCAGGCCGCACAGCCCCGCGGCTGAGAGTGCGCCCCGGCGCTTTGGAACCTTAGACTTTAAGTTTTTAATTCCTGGTCTCGTTTTGTTTTACTTATATCAAAGGAACTGACGATAGGAAGGGAATAAGTTATTAGTGACTTTTCCTTAGTTAATTTAAAACATAACTCAGTTCTTTCAAATAGGTTTGATGTGGCTCTTCTCATTTTTAAAAAATCGTAAACGTTTCTAATTGAGCCTCCCTGCTGCTTGGTCGGCAGAAATGTTTGGGTTTTGTGCGTGCGTGTATCTGTGTGCCTTAGAATACTAATTTTGCAAATTTTGGCCTGCTTTTCATAGGTCCCAAGCTCTTTAAGGAGCCCAGTAGTAAATCCAACAAGCCAATTATTCACAATGCTATATCCCATTGCTGTCTGGCCGGAAAAGTGAATGAGCCTCACAAGAATTCAATATTAGAGGCAAGTATCAAATTTTACCACCAAGTTCTGATGTAGAACGAAAGGTATTTACATATTAGTGTTTTTTCTGGGGGAAAAAAATCTAATCACTTAGGCTCGAGGCCCAGCGCCTTCTGTTAATTTTCCCGCGTGTAAGAGCGTGTGCTCCCGCCTCCCGGGTGCTCACGGCGGTCCTGGGGCTGTGGAGGGCAGGAGTTGGACGGCACGGGGGGGCTCGCCCTGGGTGGGGCTGGCAGCCCGGGGCAGGCCCTCTGTGCGAAGCCACCTTGGTCCAGGGCAGGGTGGGGAGTGGAAAATGGGTGACCTTTTTTTCAAAGTGGAGGCAACTAGTCACCTTAGTGTGGCGGTCGAGGGCGGTGTGATTGCCGAGGACACGGGAGGCAGAGAGGACGGAAGATGACGGGCCCGGCCTCTTCGTCCACTTTTGCGATGGGGTGGCACCCGCTGTGTGGACAGCTGTGTGGACGGGCCCCTTTTGCTTAGCCGGCCTCCGTTGAGGAGCGTTCGGGGTGTCCCCACTTTGTGGCTGCTGTGAGTGGTGCTGCCGTGGACGGCCGCGCACGGGTGTTGCGTGAGCACCCGAGGGGACCCTGCTGTGTTGCGTGGGGACTCCGTTTTCAGCAGCAGCGCCGCCGTCCACTCCACACCGCCACCGCCGTTGCTGGGCCTGCCTGGGGGGAGCCGTCTTGGTGGGAGGGGGGTCTCTCATCGTGGTCCTGGTTTGCATGTCCCCGATGGCTAATGATGTCGGCATCTCTTTGTGGGATGCTCCATTCATTTCTTGAAGGCTTTTTTCCCTTGCGCACCTGGGCTCCGAGGTAAACCCCGGTAGCAGCGGGTGCTCTGCGGAGTGGGCGGTGGTTGGTGTGTGGTGAGCTCCCTGCGGCGAGTCGGGGCGCCGTCCGTGGCGCGGCTGCCGGAGCCGCTCCGAGGCCCACCGTCTCTCCCCTGACGCCCTCGGTGCAGGAGCTGGAGAAATGTGACGCCAACCACTACATCATCCTGTTCCGGGACGCCGGCTGCCAGTTCAGGGCACTGTACTGCTACTACCCCGACACCGAGGAGATCTGCAAGCTCACGGGCACGGGGCCAAAGAGCGTCACCAAGAAGATGATCGACAGACTGTACAAGTACAGCTCGGACCGGAAGCAGTTTAACCTGATCCCAGCCAAAACCATGTCCGTCAGCGTGGACGCGCTCACCATTCATAACCACCTGTGGCAGCCCAGGCGGCCCGCAGTGCCAAAGAAGACCCAGACTCGCAAGTGACACGGGCGCCAGCCGGGGCGAGGAGGCGCCGACGGGTCGGTACTTATTTTTATCCGTTGGGTACAAAGCGTGCAGAATCACAGACCTTTTTCAGACAGGCTTCTTGTCGACAGAAGAAAACCCTCCCTTAGCTCCCAGCACACAGAGGATGCCGGACGCCGTGCCCAGGGGCTCACGGCTCGCTGGTCACCGCTGGCCACGAGCTTCCGGGCGAGGGATGTGTGTGGCAGGGCTCCTTTTACTTGAAGTTCTTCAGTATAAATTAAAAGCGATTTACTCAACTTTCTGCCCTCTGGCCTCACCCCCTTTGCACATGACCCGACCCCCTCACGTGGGCAGCTGTGGCCGCGTGAGGGAACAGGACTGTGACGGGCTCCTCTGGTCAGCGTGTTTGAATGTCTTCAGGAAAGGAATTCGTAGGGGGGAATCTTTTTCATTTGGGAAATTGTATGATATTTATTGATTGTGTCTACTGCCAACGTTTATATCCAATTCTGAGATTTCTGAAAACAATTCTTGTTCTTTGCTGCTCAGAAAACGTTTACTGAAAATACCAGTTCACTAAAAGCACTGATATCTGCAAAGTCTGTCTCTGCTAAAATAACGTTTACAACACGGAGATGGTTCCTTCTGACACAGTCGTGACGCTGAGCAGCACAGCTGGCCGGCGATGGGCGAGGCGAGCAGGTAGTGGCCATCGCTCGTTAGGTTTGGGTAGCGAGTACTCTGACGATTTGTTCACTTTAATAAAGGCAGATTTTGGTAAAGTAGAATATTTTTCACTCCGAGCATGTTTCCCTTTTGGTGATGCACTTGAGCTGACCGTCCTGACGTGTGTTTCGTGTCTCGGTTCGTGTTGGTGGAGCAGCGCGCCCCGGGGATACGGTGCGCAGGCCGTGCCGGGCCTTCGTTTCGCCGCCAGCTTCGAGTGGTCCCCGTGGCCACTGCCATTTCTCCGGCAAGCGGGATGGCTCCGGGCTCTGCTGAGCCTCGCGGTCTGGATGCTTCTCCAGAGCAGACAGTCCCTTGGAGTTGGAGCGGTCCGGCCACCTGGGCGCATGGCGCGACCCCTTCCCCGGCCCGCGAGGGACACCGCGGCTCTGCCGACACCTCCGTGACAGCCAGCCGCTCGGACTGCTGGAAGATTCTGGAGTCACTCACGTTAGTTTTGCACATGTTTTTTTGGGAGTGTTACTTGAATCTCTTGACCTGCGGAAGAAACGAAAGATGGGTAGAGGAGAAGTCAGACAAGTGCCCCTGTCCCGTAATCTTAGATGGGCGCAGAGGAGCAGACACGGTACGGAACGCCGGAGGGCTCCGCGTCCTCCGGAGCCGGCCTGCGGCAGCAGCGTGCACGGCGCGCTGGGTGACGCGCCGAGCGGCGCCGTCCGGTGAACTCCGCTGTGGCCGTGCTTTCCACGTGCGCGCTGTTTCTCACTGTGTGTTTGATATTCTATGATATTTATTTTAAGAAAGCACTAAACTGTAATAAAGTAATTAACTAATTTGCTTTTTACGAAGCACGTGTGTGTGAGGTGGTCGTGGCTCATTTTGTTGGTCAGTGTCCCCAGCTGCTTGCTTTAGAGGAGCGTCACGTCTTTTTTAGTTCACTAATAGCCCTTTTATTAGAAAATCACTTCGCTGTCTCCTGGAGCAATGCGGCTTTCTCCTCGTTTGCTTTGTGAAGTCGAAATGGGTGACAGCGCCTCTCGCACCCGTGACATAGTCCTGTGGAAATGAGCGCGATCTCAGGATTTCCTGTGAAGACTTCGGGGCCCCTCTGGCGTAGAGCTGGAGAACTACGTTCCGCCAAACTCCTGGGTTTTCTTGATGTAATTAGTCGACGTGTGACGCGTCCCCAGAGCCGCTTGTCGGCATGTGACAGTTTTCGGTGTCACGCCAGCAGGCACTGCCGCGGCAGCCGCCACGTCTGACGTCCCAGGTCTCTCGGCCGGTGCTCGCTGGAGTGGCCGACACACGCGTCCCCGGGTCCTCTGGGGCTCGTCGGCCAAGCCCCCCTTCTGTTTGTGGGAAAAGCCTGGACGCAGGATTTGCTCTGCGGTGGGGAGTTGGGCCCTTGCTGCCGTGGCCGTGGCCGTGGCCGTGGCCGTGGCGGCGTTTCCCAGTCCGGGCAGTCCCTGTGGCGCTCCGTGAGAGCTTTGCGACGCGTCCGCTCCTCGTGACCGCTGGCCGTAATGCGATTTATCTCCACGCTGGCAGAAACCAGCCGAGCCCCATCCGGCTTCACCGAGGTGAGTGTGCAGACTTCACACCACGGCGAGGCCGTGCATCCCTCACTGTCCCTCCGACTGTCCCCCGAGACAGCTGCTCCTGTCCGGCCACACAGGATTTAACTTTGGGAAGAAAGCGTCAACCGAGTGGTGAAGTCGACACGCGTCCTCGGGTCTGACAGAATTCTGGGAGCCCAAGAGGGTTGGTGGCCAAGGTAAATGAAACGAGTGAGCCCCTCTTACAAGTGCGAGTGCAGACACGATCTCACGCCCACGCGCACGTGAAACGGGGGTGTGCGCACGCAGGCCGAAGGTGGCTGCCCTCACATGCGTCCCGTCCCGCTGTAGAGCAGTCTAAGCAGGACTTATGGCTCAGGCAAAGTTGAAAAGTAGAATAATTCTGAAGTTTCTTCAAGGTTAGACTTTTATTTCTTGAAACTAGTTATTTGGGGAGAAGATAACCTGAAAATTTTCCACAACACTGAGCTTGCATAGCCTTTTATAATTGACACCGATCTATTCCGTGACGTGGGCTTTGGCTTTGAGCAGTGGGGGGGGGTTCTTTAGCAGCCCCCTCGGGCACACTTCCCAGCCGGCTGGCCGTGTGCCGGCGTCGTGGTCCTGGCTTGCGTTCCAGGCCAGGCCTGTGCTCGGGGGCGTCTGGGGAGCCCCACGGTGCACGGAGCCCTCGGGGCCCCTGGACGGCGCGTGTGGCCTGTCCACACTCTCACGCATTCCACTCACAGTGGTCGCCGTTTGGAGGCCCAGCTGTGACACCGTTGGACATCTCAGGGTGGAACTTGCCCTGGCAAGAACCTTGGGCTCCTGGCCCCACCTCCCCGTCTTTCTCCCCTTAAAGCCAGGTTTCCATGACGATGGCGTCCGGGCCAGGGGTAGCACGAAGGTCAGAAGCTGACACGTGGGGCCCTGGAGTCAGGTGTCGGGCCCGCCATTTCATCTGGCGATGGACGCCTCGAATTGGAGACTGAGAAGCCTTCCCGGGCAGAGCCTGCCTTTGCGCAGGTCCTTGCGCGGTGGCCTCGGCCCGTACACAGCCAGCCTTCGCTGGGTAGAGGCCGTGGCCTGGGCACGGCCGTCCAGTGATGGGGTTGCTGGAGCAATGACCGGAGGGGCTACACACACTCCATCAAAGCACGCGGTCCCCGGAGCCTCGGCTCCTCTCCAAGCCCAGAGCAAAGCCAGCCTGGTGCCGTGAGGGGCCTTCTCCACCCGTGTCTGTGATGGCAGCGACGTCGCTTCCTGACTGGAGACCCCTCCCGGGAAAACTGTCCCTGAGTTCCTGCTGCTGCTGCTGCTTCCGGGGGGGACCCGAGTCCAGCCCCCCGGGGGCCGACCGGGGAGAAACCGCCTGGCCATGAGCAGGTGGGGCCTCGAGGCTGGTTCCTGATGGAGGCTGCCAGGAGGGACCTCTCCCCAGGGAGATGAAGGCACCCCCAAGTCTGGTTCATGCCCCCCAGTCCAGCGGGCCTTCTCGAGCCTACAGTGAGGTGCCAGGGCGGGGGCCAGGAGGTCCCCCACTGCAGGAAGGCTGCACGGGGGGCGGGGCCTGCCGCTCCTGGGACCAGGAGACCCCAGGGCCAGCCCGTGTGTCTCAGGAGCCTGTGCAAGGCCGACGCCCTCCAGGCCGTGGGCGTGGCTGGCCCCTAGGCTTGGCTAGGACTCGGGCCACCATTGCAGACCTGATGGTGTCCTTTCCAGCTCAGTGCTGTGTGACCAGCTGTGAAGGGCCAGCTGTGACTTCGCAAGGAAGAACATGCCAGCAACACTGGGCTCACGCCGACGAGCGACAGGGTCTGGTCTGGCCCTGCCGGCGGACGGCCTCTGGCCGGAGGCCCCGCTTGGCTGTTCCCAAGTCTCCAAGCTCCTCCTGGCCTCGCCGGGGACGGGGGTGGCTCTTGCCAGCCAGCGGCCGCGGGGCCTGTCATGTGACCAGTGTGTTCAGTGCTTGGCGGGAGCACCAGCGTGGCCCTCGGCCTGAGCGCTCCACCCTGCCTGGCTGCCCGTGGCCTCATCCCCCCGCCCCTTCTCCTGCTGCGTCTGGTTTTAGTCTGCGTTTCATGCGCTTCTGTGTCCTTCCCTCTCTTGGGAAGTGCACTCCACCCTGCCTGGCTGCCCGTGGCCTCATCCCCCGCCCCTTCTCCTCTGCGTCTGGTTTTAGTCTGCGTTTCACGCGCTTCTGTGTCCTTCCCTCTCTTGGGAAGTGCGAAGTCCTTGCACTTTGAGGTTGGGGGTGGTCGCCCAGAGGTGGGCGGACGTTCAGCCCCCCACGTCGATGCTGCTCCCCAGCCGCGAGCACCTTGTCATGAGGCCCCGCCCCGGCCCGTGGGCCCGCTGCCCCCCGTCTCACCCCGCGTAAGGAGAACAGCTGAGCGCCGCACCGGCTCCACTGTTGGAGCAGATAGTTTCCTAGTA